AGCCAGGGACACTAAATGTCCCTCTCTGCTGCTGTGCTGCCCATGTCAAATGACAGAAACCTGAGGGACATCGTGTGGTGGGTTAACCTAAGAATTGGGGCATGCATTCCTCATTGCCCTTATTGCCTACATTTTCTTTTTTGTTGTTCAAACAAGGTCTGGCTATGCAGCTCAGCCTGGCCTTGAGCTCACTTTGTAGCCCAGGCTGGTCTCTAACTCACAACAATCCTCCTGCCTCAGCCTCCCAAGTGTTGGGATTGCAGGCATGTGCCACCATGCCCAGCTCTCAATTTCTTAAACACAGAACCAAATAAACCTCTGGCCAACCCTCCTACTCATCAATGGGAGTTACGCACTGCTACTCCTGGCTGCTTGGCTGTGGCTCTCTGCCCTCCCCTCAGGTTCACGGTCAGCAAGTGCAGGGCGCAGCGGGAGCGCGGCCCGTGATGCTGCTTGAGGTCCAGGACCAAACCACGATGGACAGCGTCCAGGGCTAGGGTTTGGTGTCTCGTTTTGTTTGCTTTTTTGTCCACCAAAGCTAAGGTACTCTCTCCTCCCGTGTTTTGTCTTGGTTTTTCTTTTTCTTTTTCTTTTTTTTGAGGAACCAGGGATTGAGCTCAGGCCTTTGCACTTGCCAGGCAAGCACTCATTCTACTGAGCCATCTACCCGGCCTTTGTTTTTTTTTGAGACAGGGTCTCACTATGCAGTTCAGGCTGGGCCTAAATTAACTTTCTAGCCCAGACTGGCCTGAACTTCAGGTGATCCTCCTGCCTTAAGCCTCCCGAGTGCTGAGATTATGGGTGTGTCCTGTCACGCCCAGCTCTCCGCCCATTTTTACGTCAAGCCTGTCTGAACTGCATTTCTGCCTCTTGAAAAGGGAGTTCCAGCCCTGAGCCCTTCCTCACACACCGCTGAGGATTCCCTGAGGTTTGGAGGTTGGGTCGAGACGCAGACACCTGGGTCTCACGACTGGGTCGGATCAGAGCCGCAGGGGGCCTGGGATGAAGCTCAGGCTAGGAGGGAAGGCCCAGCTCTGCCTGTGCCCTGGGCTCTGCCGTGACCAGCGTCCTGTGAGGTGGACATGGCGACAGGCAATGCTACTGGACAACACAGCACGAGCTCCCCTCACACAAAACGGGGGGACCAAAACCCCTCCCTGCCTGCAGCAGGAGGCACATTGGGCTCCCCTGCCAGCCAGGACTGGGGCTCCTGCCTTAGCAAAGTGTCTGGGCAGTTTGATCTGCTTCCTCACAGCTATCATTCTTTCCTTTCTGCCCTGCTTCCTGTGGTTGTGTCCGCAGGCTTTTAACCCTTCTGGTGGCAAAACGAATGCCACCATCCCAACCATCACATTCTATATCCTGCTACATACGAGAGACAGGCAAGTTTATTTCCCCAAGCCCCACCGAAAAACGCTTTTCCGGCACACCGACATGGGCTGAGGGGCAGGGTAGAGATGGAGACCGTGGGACGGCGCTGCCCCGGAGATACACTCTTCCCTTCCTTCCCGAAGCTCCCAGCCGTCGGCAGAGCACAGAGGCGTGGGAATCCAGGGACGGCGTGAGGGTGGGGTGGGGTGGGTGGGCGTGGCCTGGCATCCCTGCGTCCTCTGCTCGCGCTGCCAGTCGTGACGCACGGAACGCAGGCTGTCCACTTCCGTCATACTTCAAGTAAACCAATGACTCTCTTCAGATTACTTTGGGACTTTTTTATGTATTTGGTATGGGGTCTCACCAAGCAGCTCAGACTCACAGTGATCCTATTTTCAGCCTGCCCAGCACTGGGATTACAAATGTGTGCCACCATGTGCGGCATGGGGCGCGGGGGTTCGAACCCCAGTCCCTGTGCTTGGGTCCCTGAGCTATCTCACCAGCCCTGGCACATTTTTATATTGGGAAACTAGTTTGCCCGATACTCAGATTTCACCGGGCATGCTCAGGCCCCCTGAGGGCCAGGTACCCTCTGGGCTAGATTAAAATGTGCTTCTGCTTCAGCCAAGCTGGAGGGGGCCAGGGATACCGTGTGTCCAAGGCCCTCACTGAGAGAGGGCTGTGCTTCCTCATGGGGTAGAGGGAAACGTTGGGCCTGCCTTGGTGGCACACCCCTGTAATCCCAGCACCCAGGAGGTGGAGGCAGGAGGACTGCAACAGGTTGGAGGCCAGCCTGGGCTACAAAGCGAGATCCTGCCTCAAAAACAAAAAGGCAAAATGCTGCGAATGTAAACTCGTGGCTCCCGATGAAGACCCAAGAAACAGCTGCTGGCTCAGGATGGTGGAAAGGCCAACCGTGTGGGACGCACCTGGGCAGCTGCGAATCCTCTCCTGTCGGCTAACTGTGGCTGTGCCTGCCACTCAGTGTGTGACAACACCCTCAGCAGGAACATGAAAGGGCCTAAGAGGGCTCCCCATGCAGGAACTGCACACAGCACCCAGAGGTGGCTGGGCACCATGCCCTCCACCTGTAACCCCAGCATCCAGGAGGCTGAGGCAGGAAATTCTCGGTGAAGTCAAGGCTAGCCTGGGCTACAAATTGAGACTGTCTCAAAAAAAAAAAAAAAAGAAAAAGAAAAAGAAAAAAGAGAGTGTAAGAGAGAGCCTTGGGGGCCCGGGATATAGCTCAGTGGCATAAACACCTACCTGGCAAGCACAAGTTCCTGAGTTCGATCCCTGGTACCACAAAAGAAAAAGAAAAAAAAAAAAAAAACCTAAGGGAGAGCCTTGGTGCCCACAAGTAGGTTCTCGCGCTCTCCCCAGCACCGGTGAACCCGAAGAGACCCTGCGTTCTCTCTCAGCGGGTCTGACCACACCGAGGGGCCCGAGTGGGATCACCAAGCATGCTTCTTGTCCCAAGGAGGTTGGTCCGCTTGCTGTCCCCAGGAGTCACCGTTTTGGTGCTGCTGTCAGCACCTCACTCTTTTCAAGATGGAGCCCAAATGCACCCATGTGCACAGGACGGGTTTCTCCATCCATCTGCCTTCACACGCTGTGGTGGCTCCTTCCTTCCCAAGGCTGCGCACGCGCGCGCGAGGCTGCTGTGACCACGGTGTGCAGCGAGGGGCCGCTCTCAGTGCCGGAGCAGCCTCTGACGAGTGCGGGGTGGTGGGACAGACTGCCACAGATGCTGTCCTAGGACGAAGCATTCTTCGGCTTCCTCCTTCCTCCCGGCCAGCCAGCAGGGGAAGGGGTATTTTGTGGGCATACCGGATTCCTAGGAGTGGGCTGGGGAGATCTCTCAGTGGAATAAGGACCTGCGTGGCAAGCACAAGGTCCCTGGCACCACAAAAAACAAACAAAACACCCCTGTTGTCCAGGAGCCCAGGGCCGGTGGTGGACTGAATAACGTCCCCCATCCCATTGGTGTCAGCCCATCCCCAGGCCCCACTCAGAGGCCCCAAGGTGTTGTTTTGGGTAGGAAGCATCGTTCCACTCAGCGGACAGGAGGATCCAGTCTCCCTGGTGGCAGAGCTGTCCCCGCTGCAGCCCCCACCCCAAGTTTAGCAGCCCTAGCTCCTCACAGACTCGGCACCAGCAAGGCTTTAAATGAGTAAAAAGCTCTCTAATAAAGCTCACAGGCACAGAGCTGCTTCCACAAAAGCAGCACACGTCCCTCTCCTCCCACTATCCGCAGCGGGTGGCATCCAGCCAGCCACCCAAGCTGGGGCCGTGGGGTTCTGCCTGCAGAGGAACAGCATTCAGAGGAGGAAGCCAGGCCCCACGTGCGGCCAGGCCGCGGATCCCGGGCTGCTCGCCTGCGGGCGCACGCCTGGCCTTCCGCAGGCAGACGCGTTTCCTCCCCTTGCAATCCTCTGGAGCTGGGACACAGGGGTCTTCCACTACTGGTGTGCAGTGTGTCCTTCTGCTGTGCTGGGATCGAACCCAGAGCCTTATGCATGCCAGACAAGAACACCACACCGTGAGCCACATCCCCAGCCCTGGCACACATTTTACCACAGTATTTGTTTGCTCACCTCCAGGTCTTAAATCTCACTTTCCCTGCAACACTGTCAGTATGTGACAAAGCACACGCGAGGATTTGCCCTGACCACACCTGAAGGTGCGTGCACCATCCCGAGCAGGAGAAATGGGGCTGTCGTAGGCAGCAGCGACTGCCGCCCTGGCCCTGGCCGTGGAGTGCTCTACAGCCAGGCACCCAACTAAGCGACTGTCCGCAGGGCTTCGCGCAGGTCGCCGACCCCATCTCACAGGTGAGGCAGAGGCTGGGAAGGTCGCCGCGCCTGTTTGCACCCCCTAGCTCGGTGGCTGTTCCGGGGTAACCATGGGAAAGTGACTATAAATAATAAACACCAAGCGCTCTGCAGTTTAGCTTAGATATGGGGACGGCGGGCCAAGGCCGGGCAGGGCGCAGCACAGCCCGCAAGGCCCGTGGCCGGCCGTCCAGCGCAGACTCATCCGGCCCCGCGGAGGCCCTCGCAGGCTCGCGGGGCGCCCAGGCTCGGCCACGCCGGGGTCACTCTGGGCAGTAAGGGACCTGACCGCCCGTCCTTCGCAAACCGGGCACAGCACCACTCTGCGGCCCCAGTCGCTGTCAGGACCTGGTGAAGGTACAGCATGGGTCATGCCCTTACGAAGGAGGAAACTGAGGCTGGAGAAGGCCCGGCGTCGCGCGAGACGAGGTCCGAACGGCGCGCTGGGGCCGGCGCTGAAGGGGTTATGACGATAGAGACGCCAGGATGACCCGGGTGGCGCGAGCGTCCCCGAGGCGGCGCGCACGGCGCAGGCGCGAGCTGCGGGGGGGGGGACACCCGGAAGTCTGCGCCTAACGGGCCGCGCCGCGCTCGCGGTCCTGGGAGGGGCGGGGCCGCAGCCCCTCGGCGTGAGGCGCCATAGAGCGAGCACGGAGGACTCGGGTCCTAGACGCGTCCGGAAGTAGCTCCCTCAGGCGCCGCTCAGCACCATAGAGTTTGGGGGCGGAGGCCAGGGGTCGGGAAGGGGGCGGCCCGCCTAGAACGGCGAGGACGGGGTGGCGGCCCCGGAGGGGGGGGAGGGGAGAGGGTAGTGGGGGGAGCGGCGCGGGCGGAAGTGGCCGGGAAGGTCACTTCCGGCCTGGGCGTCCGTCCCCCTGACCCCAGGGTCTGAGTCGCCGCTGCCACCATCCGCGAGGCAGGCGAGAGGAGGAGTGCGGCGCGGCGGCCCCGGACCGAGGAGGTGAGGGCGGGCGCAGGGCCGTGTGCCGTGGCTCGGGTAGGCGGAGGTCCGGGAGCTGGGCTTCGGACGGGGGTGGGTGGGAGGCGGGAGGGCGAGCGCTGCCGAGAGGGCGAGTGCG